CCACAATGATACTCACAGCAGATGTCGAGGGCCGCAACTTAAGTGTGATTGCATATCCATGCAAATATATACGCAAATAGCTTCTTTCCCACAATGCCCCACCGCTCCCGGCACCTCCTCCCTTGGGACTAGACACGCCGACACCCTGGACCCGTCTGTTCCAGCCAGCCCCTCCGCTTGTCTTTCAATGCTCACCCCACCTGGGAGACACCTCGCATTTGTGGAGCGTGTTCCCAGTGGAGGCCATTTTCAAAGGATCCCACCCATGGGACACATGTTGAGCCCTGTATAAAACCAAAGTGCACTGTGGGCCACAAACAGATGGGCTCCATGTGGCCTCCAAGCCATGTGTTGAGAAGCCCTGGTCTAGACCATCCCTGACAGGTGTCTGTCTACCCTGATCTTAAGTATCTCCAGAGATGGGGATTCCACAATCCCCCTAGGCAACTTATCCCAGTGATTCACCACCCTGGCAGGCAGGCAGTTTTTCCTCATGTCCAACCTAAACCTCCCTTGCTGCAACTTAAGCCTATTTCTTGTCCTGTCCTCAGATGCCAAGAAGAACAATTTTTCTCCCTCCTCCTTGTGACACCCTTTTAGATACCTGAAAAGCACCATCATGTCCCCTCTCAGTCTTCTCCTCTCTAACTAAACAAGCCCAATTGTTTCAGCCTTCCTTCATAGGTCATGTTCTCTAGCTCTTTCATCATTCTTGTTGCTCTTCTCTGGACCTTCTCCAATTTCTCCAAATCCTTCTTGAAACGTGGTGCCCAGAACTGGACACAATACTCCAATTGAGGCCTAATCAACGCAGAGCAGAGCAGAGCAGAGCAGAGCAGAGCAGAGCAGAGCAGAGCAGAGCAGAGCAGAGCAGAGCAGAGCAGAGCAGAGCAGAGCAGAGCAGAGCAGAGCAGAGCAGAGCAGAGCAGAGCAGAGCAGAGCAGAGCAGAGCAGAGCAGAGCAGAGCAGAGCAGAGCAGAGCAGAGCAGAGCAGAGCAGAGCAGAGCAGAGCAGAGCAGAGCAGAGCAGAGCAGAGCAGAGCAGAGCAGAGCAGAGCAGAGCAGAGCAGAGCAGAGCAGAGCAGAGCAGAGCAGAGCAGAGCAGAGCAGAGCAGAGCAGAGCAGAGCAGAGCAGAGCAGAGCAGAGCAGAGCAGAGCAGAGCAGAGCAGAGCAGAGCAGAGCAGAGCAGAGCAGAGCAGAGCAGAGCAGAGCAGAGCAGAGCAGAGCAGAGCAGAGCAGAGCAGAGCAGAGCAGAGCAGAGCAGAGCAGAGCAGAGCAGAGCAGAGCAGAGCAGAGCAGAGCAGAGCAGAGCAGAGCAGAGCAGAGCAGAGCAGAGCAGAGCAGAGCAGAGCAGAGCAGAGCAGAGCAGAGCAGAGCAGAGCAGAGCAGAGCAGAGCAGAGCAGAGCAGAGCAGAGCAGAGCAGAGCAGAGCAGAGCAGAGCAGAGCAGAGCAGAGCAGAGCAGAGCAGAGCAGAGCAGAGCAGAGCAGAGCAGAGCAGAGCAGAGCAGAGCAGAGCAGAGCAGAGCAGAGCAGAGCAGAGCAGAGCAGAGCAGAGCAGAGCAGAGCAGAGGAATGACACTCCTGTTAATGCATCCCAGAATCATGTTTACTTCTTTTGCAACAGCATCACACTGTTGACTCTTATTTAACTTGTGGTCCACTATCACCCCTAGATCCCTTTCTGCCTTACACACAGAATGGGAAGCGACTGTCTAGGAAGAAGTGTGAAACTGATTGTTCCTTCCTAAGTGGAGCACTTTTCATTTGTCCTTATTAAACTTCATCCTGTTTACCACAGACCATTTTGCAGTTTGTCCAGATCATTTTGAATTATGACCCATCCTCCAAAGCTCTTGCAACCCCTCCCAGATTGGTACCATCCGCAAACTTAATAAGCGTCCTCTCTATGCCGATATCTAAATCATTGATGAAGATATTGAACAGACCCCTGCGGAACTCCACTTGTTCTGCCCTTCCAGCATGATTGTGAACCGTTAATAACTACCCTCTGAGAATGGTTATCCAGCCAGTTATGCACCCACCTTATAGTAGCCCCATCTAGTTTGTATTTCCCTAATTTATTGATAAGGTCATGTGAGACCGTATCAAATGCCTTACTAAAGTCTAGGTTTACCACATCCAACCCTTATCCACAAGACCTGTTGTCCTATCAAAGAAAGCTATCCGATTGGTTTGACATGATTTGTTCTTTACAAATCCATGCTGGCTGTTGCCTGCCATCTTATTATCTTCCAGGTGTTTGCAGGTGGATTCCTTAATTACCGGCTCCATTACCTTCCCTGGCACAGAAGTTAAACCGACTGGTCTGCAGTTTCCTGGGTTGTTCTTCTTTCCCTTTTTATAGATGGGCCCTAGATTTGCCCTTTTCCAGTCTTCTGGGATCTTTCCCGACTTCCACGACTTTTCAAAGATGACAGCTAATAGGGATGTTAACATGTAGATGACTATATGATTAACTCATAGCCCTGGACCTGCCATGGACAGAGTCTGTTCTGGGGGTCAGAGGTCCCCATGGACAGGGGCTGCTGACATGGAGCAACCTCCATTCCTGGTGAGTTTGGACTCCTGTGTTCAGGGGCTGTTGCCACCTTATGCTGCTGCCTCTGTATCTGCGCGGGAAGCTGGTTTTTTAAGGGAGACCTGCTCTCGCCTGGCACCCTGTACTGCTGCCTCTGATGGACAGGCAGCAGTGTGGGGTTGCAAGGTGCCCCCAGGAGGGGGGCTGGGAGTGCACTGGCTGCCAGCCCTGCCTCCGCGGCCTATTGAATAGCTGCGTAACCGCTAAAATTTCATGCAGTTACATGGCTATTTCAATTACACGCTATCTAACATCCTTAATAGCTAAAGGCTGAGATACCTCCTCTATCAGCTCCTTGAGTATTCTAGGACGCATTTCATCAGGCCCTGGTGACTTGAAGATATCTAACAATTCTAGGTAACTTTTAACTTGTACTTTTAAAAATTTAACTTCCAAATCTACCCCATTTTCACCAGCATTCACTATGTTAGGCATCCATTCACCATCAATCCTCTTGGTAAAAACCAAAAGAAAGAAGTCATTAAGCACTTCTGCCATTTCCAAATTTCCTGTCATTGTCTTTCCCTCTTTACTGAGCAATGGGCCTGCCCTGTCCTTGGTCTTCCTCTTGATTCTAATGTAGTTGTAGAATGTCTTCTTGTTTTCCTTACGTGTCTAGCTAATATTTTAGATTGGCAGCACAAACAGCCCTTAAGGGGACTTGCCAGGTTTTCTTTGCCAGGAAAGAGCCAGAACCGCTCAGACCTTGATGCTGGCAAATGAGAATTCCTCTTAATTTCCCTACCTGCAAGTAAACAGAACGAGTCAGCACAACCGCACTGCCAAGGAGAGCTGCTACCTGCATGCTAAGTTAAGAGGACAAATCTGAAATTGTTTTCTGCCCAAAGGCAAAAAGGTTTTTTTTTTTGTTTCTTTAGTGGCTCAGTGACCCCGCTCCTGGGGTTGGCAGTGACCCTCAAAGTCCTTATTTTTCCATTTCTACAAAGCAGGGATTTTTCAAAGACAGTCTTTTTTTACTTTACACCTGCAAAAACGGGTGTTGTCAAAATGTTGTAGAGCTCTGTGAAAAGGAAACAAGTAGTAAATTCAGATGATCCCTAGTCTAGATAATCCCTAGTCCTGCCATGGGTGCCGGGGACAGGACGAGACGAGAGAGCTCCAGCATCCCACGGAACAGCCTCTGTCAGTGTCAAGCCTGGGCCATGCGAGGCCCCTCGAAGCCTCTTCCAGGCCTACGATCCAGTGATCCTGTCAGCTAGCGCAGTGCAAAGCCTCAGGGCAGCGGCTGTCTGCGCAGTGCCCGCCTGCACTGCGATAACGATCCAGAGCCCGGCTGCGGCTGAGTTGAGTCAGCTGTCGGGCTCACAGGGCTATAAAAGTGCAGTGCAGACATTAGGCTCAGGCTGTAGCCCAACCTCTGGGACTCTGCGAGGGGGAAGGGTCCCAGCCAGCATTCCCTTGGACCTGTGCACTTGGGCGGCTGCCCAGGAGAGATTCCAGTGCCACCCAGCATTAGCACAGCGCCCACAGCTGGCAGCAAGAGTTTCTACTTGTGGTGCACATCCACACATCCCTCAGTGCACATTGCAATATTTATGCCGCACATGGATGACAAGAGAGGGAACACTGGTCCCAGTGTGAGCCTGAACATCTCACTACAATATCACAGCCGCACAGCCTGAGCCCTGCGAGCCAGATCGCGTGGCCAAGTCAGGGGTCTTTCCCGCAGTGTAGCTGCAATGCAACCAGCAAAGGGGGAGAAAAACGGACATTGTGACTAGCAAAGGGTTTGTAACAGGAGAGCTGTAAGCATGACCTTTCATGCCATGTGCTGTCACCCCAGTAGGCCTTTTACGCAAAGCAGCAGTCTGCTTTGCCTGTGGATTGCTGCTTGGCCCCCATCTTTCCTGCTCATTTTCGTAACCTCCTTTCCCACCATGC